CGTTAATCCATTCATGCGCGTCACTAATTAGATGACGAGGCATTTGGCTACCTTAAGAGAGTCATAGTGGCTGAGGTTTCGCTAGATAGTAGATAGGTACAGTGGGAATCTCGTTAATCCATTCATGCGAGTAGATTTTATAAAAAGTAGAATTGACTCTCAATAAGTTACTTAGTTACTAAGTGTACTAAGATGTTTCTAAGTTTGAATATCGGTAGCTTCTAGGATACTGGCAACAATCATAAACAACTGCGGATATACAAAACTGTGAATTAATAAGACATCATTTATTGGACTTCCTTTTATGTATATATCGTCACAACACGATGACATCTTTAATGATAAATGTTACGTCCCAGGAAATTATATCGATTTTTTTCCGACACTATTTTTTTAAAATATTTTTCTAGAGGTTTGAAGTAACCAGAAGATAATTGAGTTTGGCATGTGATGTGGCTGTACTCTTAATAGCACTGTATAGGGTGTTTCGAAAGTTACATCTCTTAGGGAAAGGATACTTTGCACATGGTTTCCTAGGAGACTAAGGCAAATCTGAATGCTCCTTTCCATTTCGACAACCATGCCCGATGGTAGTTATATTCTATATTCAAACTCCTAATGGAGTACATTTGGAACACCCTGCAGTGTGAGACACATCAGTGTTATAACATGACACAATATCTACTTGATGAGTACTTTTACAATTCTTTCAACGTTACCGACAAAAGATTGGATAGCTTGGAGTTAGAATATTACACAGCTTATAAAAACCGGATAGTTATCTACTTTTCCATCAACAAGTATTTTAGTTATTTATTTTGTTGGGTTTTGATTCCGTTCTTACTTTTCAAAAGAAGTTTAATCTTCATTTTGAAAGCATTTTTGTTTCTTTTTAACGTTAGTACTTCAAACAAACAAACCGTTTGGTAAACATTTACAAAAAAAACATCTTTAAATGTTTTCAACTGTTTTCATACAGTATTGCAGTTGCATTTTAATAAGGTTTCTTTTGGAAGTACACATAACACATTATAGGCAGTATTTATTATAAGAAGTATTCTTGTTTTAACATTCTGTTTTAATAGAAAGTCAGTTATAATAACGGTACAATTACATTAACTGTAGAATACCACACGTACCTTTTCCTCGGAAAATTTGGCTCTTTTCTCGGCATCTTCTACTCGATGTTCCAGTTCTTCCAGCTGTAAACATTAATCTTGAATTATTTAATCTCAAAGTTACTTACTGTATAACTTAAAATGTACAATCTTAATTTAATTACCAAGTTAAAAAAACCCACTAATTATTCTACCTGATCCTTTTGAATCATTTCTGTAAACTTAATATAACGAATCATGTTATTCAATTTTAAATACAATTATTATTTGTTAATTATTTGTGTCCATTCATAAAATTATCTACACTTTAAAATTGAATAGAACAGTTGAATAATTCCGATGGCTCAGCTAATGTCGCTAAAAATGAGGTTTCGGTACTCGCGGTGTGTGCAGCGTAGCTTTGTGCTTAACAACAATCAAAGGAGGTGAAAGTTCAACATCATAGAAAAACATACAAAATCGTAAACAAATCTTATTTAAATATCGTTTTCACCCTAGTTCATTTCCAAACCATCATCTTTGATAATCATATGCACAGGAATGAATACTGTGATCAAAATTTATGTCTTATCACTTCATAACACTGAAGTGTTTTGGAATTACAGGCATTGACACTAAGATACTTGATAGAATGTTAAGTGTTCGTTGCTTATAGAACTTTCTGTGACATTATGGTCAATATGCGAATTACAAAAACACGGACTTTCTGACAATTAATTGAGCTGTATGTTACTTATTATACAGCACAGTATGTTCCACTTTTCAGCCAAGTTGTATATCGTCAATCACAAGAACGGAATACATATTATGAAATTATCAAAACAACTTATAGGAATTGAAAATAATATGAAGCCTAATCGTTTGTAACAACAGCATAAAATGTAATATACCTAGAAATATCCTATCACTAAACTTAACACTAAAACGTGCCACTGAGATCTTCGTTTCGTTTCACAAAAGCTATTTACATACCAAGGTCACTGCCCTTCTTTTACAAGCTAAATCAAACACAATAAGATAAGAAAATCTGTTCAGTTGATTAACATACAATAATTTAATTTTGAAAATTTAGTAATTAGTTACTTTTCAAAAACACGCACATTCTTAAAGGAAAAAATAATTAATATTTGTTATATTGAATTCAATAGATATTATCTCTGCTATTTAGTTATTTAAGGAACATAATTCTATGAATACAACAATAAAACTTTTAAACTTTTTAAATTTTTAATAAGTATTCTTGTTTGATTTTAACTTTTTTTACGCTCAAGGTGATGCACAGAAATGAAAAAAAAATTCATTAGTTCATTTTACAGTACTACAAAACTGAGTTTCACAAAATAAATAATTTCGGTCGAACTGGACAACATGGGCAGATATATCACATAGTGACTCTCCTCACATGATATGACAATATGCATCAATAGATGTAAGACTCTCCAAGCAATCCAAGTTCTTATGCGCGATTTCACTTTAAACAAACTAATTTTAGTCCCCAAAACTGTATTTAAGCCAATACTGGAAATCCACAATAAGTGTGCCAATAACTGAAATATCGTGATAACGCACCTTTATTTTAATATTTAAAAAACTCAAAATAAATAAGGGATAATCGGAGTTTTCTATATTCTAGCCAATACAAGGCATTTACTATTACTACATAATGTCAATGGCGTCACTGAGTTCGTTTTTATGCAAAACAGGTGTCATATGATCATGTGTTCAAGGTGCTAACTGATAGACAACATTATGTATTTGTGTTTAAAGTAATCAAGGTTGATAGTGGAACATCCTACTAAAAAACAGACATTTCCATGATGTGAAAACTGTAGGTCAAGCACAACAAGTGGTCAACACGGTGTGAATTGTCTTTTAAAGACCATCAATACAGTTGTCTAAAGTCTCTAACATTAAATTATTGTTCACACACCCCCAAAACGATCTGGACGCAACGGGGGGGGGCATCAGCTCCCCAACTGAATCGAAATTTCACTGGACAACAAGTCACTCTAAACGAGCTTCAGAAAATTGGTCAGACACATATTTGGAGAATGACCACGACCAGATCCAAACCAACATCTAGGAGAAAAGTTAGGTTTATGGCGGTGGTGGCATATTGGTTTCCACGCTAACCTTTGTGTGCTTCGACTTGGCAAAATGAAACCTAATAAGATACAGTGATGCAGGCTTACAACCACTTCTGGTGTGTTAACATTCTGATCATTTAGTGGTTTGCAAAGGCTGCAGTATAAAACAAGCATTTGCGCATATAGACTCTGACAGTAGAAATTTGCACAACAAACTACTGGTCACTGTTTTGCATAAGATTAATTCAGAGTATCACTGACATTATTTGATAGCAATAGTTGAGCCTTATCACAGCTAGGATGTATATAACTTCATCTATCCAAAATTTGTTTTGAGTAGTATATACACATTCGTATTAGTACTTGATATCTCGAATAATTATGAACCTATATGTTAGCACTCATAATGCCAACATTTGTGGCAATATTTAAAATTTCCGAAAAGTACATCCTAGTGTCAGTAAATGAAGGGCCCCAAAATCATATCCCAGTGTCAGCACTTGAAATGATTAAAATAAGCATTGTGTTAATACCCAAAATCATTAAAATAACATTTGTGTTATTATCTGAAAAACATCACGAAGCGCACTTTATGAACAAAATATTCCACTGAACTCAATTTATCCAATATTCTCTTGAATATTGCATATATATTTCATCAGGAGGACAATAAAAACCAGAAACGAAATGAGAAGAGGATAAACACTTTGGTCTTTCAAAAATGTGCTAATCCAGAAAACATGGAAAGAAAACGGAAAGTTGTAATTGTAATTGTAATTAAGCACAAAGTTACACAATGGGATATCTGTGCTCTGCCCACCACGGGTATCGAAACCAGGATTCTAGCGTTGTAAGTCCGCAGACATACCGCTGTGCCACTGGGGGGCCGGAAAGTTGTAAGTTGGTTTGATTTGTCCATGAATCTCGACTAGGAAGGAAAAGTTACCAGCTAAATTTCTGGTACACCAGGAAGGAAAATTTACCAGCCAGATCTCTGGTACACCTGGAAGAGGAAATTACCAGCTAGATCTCTGGTACACCAGGAAGGAAAAGTTACCAGCTAAATATCTGGTACACCAGGAAAGAAAAGTTACCAGCTAAATCTCTGGTACACCAGGAAGGAAAAAGTTACTAGCTAAATCTCTGGTACACCAGGAAGGAAAAAGTTACCAGCTAAATCTCTGGTACACCAGGAAAGAAAAGTTACCAGCTAGATCTCTGGTACACCAGGAAGGAAAGTTACCAGCTAGATCTCTGGTACACCAGGAAGGAAAGTTACCAGCTATATCTCTGGTACACCAGGAAGAGGAAGTTACCAGCTATATCTCTGTACACCAGGAAGAGGAAGTTACC